TTGCTGTGGAAGTCCAGTGGAGTAACTATTGTAGAACTAGGTCCAAAGGAAACCTACTTACTGTATATCACCTCAGCATTACTGTGTGTCTAATATCTCTAACCATAACCATTTCAGTCTTTTTTTCCCCGTGCCATCCTGTAAAAAAGAAGCGTGTAGTTCTCTTCATCAATCGATTGTGAAACAAACAGAAAGCATCAAAATAGCTCAGGAAATATAAACTCACACATATAGATTTACTCACACCTCACTGTAATGCAATTCGTCTTTTGTGTTTCATAGTCCACTTTTTCCTTCTAGGTTTTGTGTCGTTCTTTGCCGATGCAGGAAGGTCTAAGGACAGTGACGATCCAGGACATAGATAGATAGATAGATAGATAGATAGATACTTTATTGATCCCCGTCCGAGAAATTCAGGTGTCCAGTAGTAGCAAAAATAAAAAATAAAATGTATCATTAAAAAATGTTGACAATAGTAATATTTAATAAATAATAATAATTAAAGGACATTTATTAATATTTATGTACATTGGTCATCTGCCCCCTAAGGACCAATAGCTCTGATGTGTTTGTTATAATTGCATTTCCTATGTTAGAACCATTTGATTCTCTGAGCTGTTGTTGAATAATTGACAATGTTGTAAAGATTACTGCTGCTGTGATTTAGGGTTGTACACAAATAATTACAATTTAATCTAATTTTGTAGCCCTCAGTCCTGCTCCTGCCCCTCAGCACGGTGTCCTCTGCAGCTGTATTTTACAATGTATGCACCAAACAAATACACAAATGTATAAAGTGTGTCGTGAGGGTTATTAATAGCCTTAAAACACACAGCTTGTTGTGGGTTATTTATAGAAGAAATGCGGGACCACTGTAATGCAATTCATTCTCCACTACTGTATGTATTTAAGTCAATTAAACTTTACTTTATCCTTCAAAATTTTGTCACATACGCTGTAGTCCTAATTGACCATAAATGTGAAAACAAATACAATTTTACTATATTTTTTGTTGAATTGTGAATAATCAAATAAATGGCTCCGCTTCTTCCCATAATAATCGTAACATCTGATACCGCAACACCCCTGGTGGACTCTTTTCCCTTGGGCGGACCGGGAAATATACCTCACCTTACTTCGAGTCCATTTGGCCCCTGCGGTCCTCTAGTTTTACGGCTGCGGCGCATTGAGGGGCTTGGTCAGGTTTCAGCGCAGACCTGAAGTCACAGTTGGCACAAGGCCACAGAGAAATGTGGCCAGGCTTTTAACTCCAGCAGACACAGGACACATCAGTAAATTGTCCTGTCTAATGTCATACGTATGTGCAGTACGGAGCCTTGAAAGCCTCGTGACATGATGGACTGTAATCCGCCTCGACAAAGGGATTGATATCATGATGAGATTCAAGATGACCAAATTGGACCAAATTGACTTGTTGCTGTTAGATAAACCACTCAAATGGTCCATCTTTGGTTCTTCTATACCAGGCAATCTAGGTAATAACATTGCTAACTTATTATTGTCTGTTATAGAAGAACCAAATACTTTTAATTTGTCGATTACTGTCTGTTGAAAGAAAGAATGTAGAGGCTTTGAAAAGAGGGTAAAGATCAGAAAGACCCTGGTCTTTTTGTAATAACCAACTTAGTTTTGTCTTTCACAAAATCTCTCAATGCTTTCTTGACCTGAATCATGTCCAGTTAGAACCCTTTAATGAATGTGCCAAAAAGGCTCTATATATGATTTGCAAAAGTGTAAATTGTGTCCCTGAGCACTGATCCACTGCAGGTCACTAGAAGTAAAAGAGGATGAAAAGCTGTAAATTGTATATTTGTTTTGTACAATGCAGCTTCATATTTTGACTCATATTAACTCCATTGATTTTGAATGTATCTCATATTAGCAAAATCTGTGAGCACCTCTCACTTCTCAATTTACTGCACACTAAACTAGGTGTTTGGCCAAAAGGTAATTGGAAGCAGCCAATATTAAACTTTTCCTGTTAGAGATTAGCCACTTGCTTTTCTCACTGATGAAGTTATGGCGTTGCTTCATCATTACTCAATTCTGATACTAAAAATAGACTTAATACTATTTCTATACTAGGGTGATCATTTTAGATAATGTTTGTTTAGACAATGAGCTATGTTTCATTTTTACGTTTAGGTTTCAGAGCCAAATAATTTCAAAACTGCATACGGTAATATACACATCATCAACAACAAGATGTAAGGATAGTGCCAGGTTGGAATTCATGTAAAAATATAATCTTTTCATTTTAAATTGCATCTGCACTTCTATGTGTCCCCAGATAACAGGTCGACATTTCTGAACAAAAGTTAAAAGTCTAGTAAAAGTTTAAAAAAAAGGGAAATGAGTTCCATAATATTTATGTTTCACGGTTTTCAAGCAGATGTATTACTCTGATGTAAACACAAATCACAAACAAAACAGCACATATTTGCCACATTTGTCAAAGTGAAAGCAGACACATAAACAAGTCGTGAAAAGTAACACACAGTTTCTAAACTCCAGCAGGTAGATTCCATCAGTAGTCAGTTCTGAAGAGCTACATGTGTCACAGGAAGACTCTGGCCACAACAGTTGGATAGTAATCGCATTGACTTTATTAGACCACTAAGACTGCAGATTACATACAATCCCTTTTAAACACTTTCTTTCTCGGCCGTTTCTCACAGTGTCTTGTGGGGTCTGTGCGCGCCCCGGCCTCTGACAGTAAACATGATCCTAGCGGCGCGGCACTCATGCTAGCTCCGTGTTAACACTAAGTCTGTCAATGACCATCACGCTCCTTCAAAGGATGATAGCTCTCTAAAGTGTGCTCTCTCAGTCGCTGCCATTTTCCACTTGACTGGTCCCACACACGAGGGAGGACCGGCCGCCCCGAGCAGCTGTGCCAGACTGGTCACCGAGGGGGGAAAGGGGGGAGAGGAGATGAATGGGCCGTGTGGAAGGGGAGGGTGCTAATGGCCAACAGGGAGGGGCATCTGTATGCAAGAGGTGTGTTGAGCTTTCCACTAAAATATACCCTTTGCTTCGCCCTCCAAAACACTCCTCATAATCACTGTTACTGAGCAGGCCTGTCATTTCAGCCCTCTTATCCATTTATTTCATCTACTCTAAAGAGGTAACACTGCAGCTAATCATTCAGGGATACTGTGCACTGCAAAAACATATACTTACTAAAGACCAGTGTTTTTCAAGCTTTTCTGCCACACAGCTACCATTTCTTAATTTTTACAGGACTACTACCTGCAAAAACATGACCAAATCAGACTCTAAGGTAGTTTCTCGCTTAAACACATTTGATATGAACGGCTACGCTAAGAATAATATTAATCAATATTTATTATTTATTTAATTTATTTTGAATTCTTCTTGTAAGACAATGGAATATCTGTAATATAGAGCAATAGTATTCAAAAACTTACTAATATGGGAAGTAAAAGTGCTCCCTGCAATATAGAATTCTACATTATGAAGTCTGATTTAGTTTTTTAGCTTGTTTTTTTATGTTGTGTCAATGTGAATTGTTGAGTTGAGTAAGGACAGGAGCATTTTTTTTAAAGAGGAAAGGAAAATTATGTCAACAAGCGAAAATTAATTTAAATCATATTTGTAATAATTATTGAAATGCATGTATGCAGATTCAATTGAATGATTTATGTAGTAGATAAAGAGCCACATTGTGCTACCACCATCTTTAACCACTGCATACATCAATCTATTGAATCTGTGCTACTAAATCAAAACATAAACATTCAAAATATTTCACTAAAGTTTGTAGCTTGTAAAGAGCTTCTGTTCTTGTCAAGATTGCAACTGCATCAAATCAGAGCCTGTTATGTGGTGTCTGTTGAATGTGCTCTTAAATCAGACACATCCTCTGCAGTGGTTGAGGACCAGAGTGGCAGACTGATATTGTGAAGAGAGTTTGATGAGTGATAATTCGTCTGGTGTCTGTTTACTGTGGCCATATGGGCTTTGTGTCAACACTCCAGGTCTGCTCCAGGCTCGCAGGACGGGGCCCACACTGCATTTTCATAAATCACTGCTGACATCACATCAAGGTTATGTGCATGGCATTGTGGGGGCGGCAGATTGCCTTCGCTTTGACGATGCAGTGGAGCTTGAGTGAGTTTGGATTTGTTTAGAAGCTGCACAGAGAGAAAAAAACTGCTTATACATGAAATATGCAATAAGCTGCATTTATACTTGATTCAATGACTAACTGCAAAATGACTCTCTCTGAGACACTGATACTTTTTAGAACAACTGAAGTCTGCCTGTGTAGCCCAAGCCCAGTCCTGCCCCACCCTCAGTGAGGAGATAATAATTAGCTCTCTACATTGGGGTAACAAGTGTGCACCCCCTTCCTGCTGCGTCGCGCTGTAATTGGTCCCCTCATGTGGCACCGGCGGCCCCAGAACAAAGGTTCCCAGAGGGAGAATCTGTACTGACCCATGCTGAACCTTGCACAACAATGACAGGCAGGAAACATTTACATATGCTGACAGACTCGTCTCCTCCGTGCTGGAGTGCTCGCTACTTCATTAAAGCTACATCAATACCTGCTGATAGAAAATGAGGAGTGGGCCTGTGCGCATCACTGTCTGACTCACACACAGCCCAATGACAACGTCCCGTCACATCCAATTTCTAATAAATGGACAGCATTTATTAAATGGGCCGAGTGTGATGGAGGGAGGCGGTGAGAGGCTGTCGAGCTGTCTGTGAAATGTCTGCATGCATCAGCAATTGGTTTACCCACAAGCTGTTCACCTGCAAATCAGCTGCCAAAATATGTCAAACCTGCCCTGCACAGGAAACATAAAAGCATCTGAACAAAAAAATGTATACAATATTTTATTGACTCCAAAACAGCCGAATTACATGCCTTTATTGTTTCAGTGTTAACCCTCCACACTGTGCAACCCTTCTGAATGAAGTCCAAACAGACAGGTGATATTTCTGTCGATTCAGCAGCTGTGCTCCACACTGCTGTGAATGAGCTCGTCCCGATGGGAGAGGGAGACACTGCTGCTCATTTCACTGTGAGGGGCTGAGGGCGGGGGCACGGGGATAGCTGCAAAAAAGCATAATTTGCATTTATTAAACTGATCTGAAATCCAAATATATTACTGTAAAGTCTTGATTGGTTTTTATTAGGACCAAGTTTGCTTTGGGTTTTTATTGCCATGTCTCTTGTCACTATTGTCAAGTCAGCAAATATTTGCGTAATTATTTTTTTATTAGCTTAGTATTTCTAGAAAACTATTTTTGCAATGGGCTTCAACAAAATGAATGATCTCTGCTCTTTTTACACTTGATATGAAACCAGTCAAAAAGCACATACAGTAATTCTTCAACATGCAAGCAAGCAAACATGAATCCTACTAAATAATATAAGACAATTATCACAGCTAAGGTGTATAAAAGTTGACTTTGTACAAATATCTCAATATTCCACCAACAATATGAAACAGCATTGTAAATACATAGAGGTCTGTTAACATCAGAGCATAAGAAAATAAAAATCTTTCAAATCAAATAGCTGATATTGTTGTTTTATATCAGCTGTGGGTGGGGTCGAGTAGATAGTGGCATATGGGGGGGTCCTGGCAGATGGACCCCTCCGTGCTGTAGAGCAGTCTTCACATGGCACAGACACTGCAGGATCTCGCAGGGGCCGCACACACATCCAGGTGACCAGCTGGAGCAGCGAGAGGGCCATCTGACACTCCGGAGAATGATACGCACGTCTCTGTAGCTTTGTTTTGTCAATACGCTCGCACAAAAGGCCCAAGCCAATCAGCGACAGAGCTAATGAAGCTTAGAGAGAAGGGCCTCTGCTTTGGTGTGAATATTCAAGGGTATTGGCTTGTTATAGTCAAAGGCAAAAAATACATTGGTAAATTGACATAATTATGAGAATTATCATAGTCTTTTCTTGGGATTGTTTTGGCGAGTGGTGAGTTAGTATTTCTTGGGCTATTTTTAATCTGAATTATTTTTGATTTGAGGTGGATCCACTATTGAATAATATCTATTGATGTTGTTAGTCCTGGACGACACAAATGATTCAACTGTGCTGTGTAGGAATTTTGGCACAAATTAAACTTTTGTATGGACGTTTACTGTGACACATTTTCCAATAAGGAAAAGGAAAGAAGGAAATAAGACTTCTATTTTTCCAGGATGTCATAGATAAAGCCATACATATTCTTCTGTGCTATATAGTTTGAATTGCACTTTTTCTTTATTGGCACGGTTTTTTTTCACACTCAAGCTGCTGTTGAAAAGGGATTTCTACTGTTACATTGCATCTTGAAAGCTGCTTACTGCCTACTCTAGTATTTTAAAGTCATATTATCTGTATATATCTTATGGGAAGAATTTCTATGCAATAAAAGTACAACATTTCCTTATAATATATCATCCCAGTGTGGTTCTTGAATGTCCTGCTGTCACTCAAAACTCACTCCAGTGATGTCTAAGCCTGTTACACATTGCAATGTAGACTCAACAAATCCAAGTGAGAAAGTCCCATCTGTGTCAGCGCTGCTCTGAAGCGGCCCACAGGCGACTCCAGGCTAATTGTGGGCTCCATTTGTTTCTGAAATCTTATTGTTTTACTCAGTGTCGAGGTCAGGAGAGCTCCCAAGTGACCAGCGGCCAGAGACACAGCCTGTGACCCCCGCAAAGCAGATTACAGCCCTCCCCTCTGCCAAAAGACAGACTGTTTGTATTACTCTGACTTAGAATCAAAGTCATAGATTCACATGTTTATACCATAAGAACTGCACATAAATTATTTCAAACACTTAATTTTATGATAAAAAAGAAACCTATTACTTTTATTATTATTATTTATTATTATCAGAAAGGATTTTTTCAGTCAAGTAAACATTTATTTTGTTTTCTAAAAAAAAAACTTAAAAAAAAAAAAAACATACCTAATGTTGTTTGGTACATGTCCCAGGTCCAGAGCAGGAGCCCTTCAGAGGGGGTCCCACAGTCTGCGTGGTCTGTGATGCTGCATGAGTGATCATCATTTTGTTCATTGTCTGAGTTTGGGCTCGCTTCTCATGGCTTCTCCTCCTCACCTTTTATCTTTAATCATTATTTTGTTACTTCAAACTTAGTTACACTAACTTGAAAGAACATATTCATTATGGTTTATAAATTTGCTTTAATTAATGTTCGGAAATGTCACTAGTGTAGATTTGTATTCCAAGAGTGTTGACACATTAATGACAATGACATTTCTCTGCCAGTACAGACCTGCAGTTTCATCTGGATTCTGTCTTGCTTTGATCCTGGTGGAATAATTAAATATATTTTATGGCTTGCTAAGAATCAGGAGTATTTATTTTATCGAGCTGATTTATGACAAAACTTTTCAAGCTGACAAAGTTATACAGAAAAATATTTATTAAATAAAAAAAGACGTAATTAGTTAAATACATGAAAACAGTATACTTTCAGTCTTGGTAGTCTCTCTTCAAGTGCTTTGTGCTGGAGGCTGCAGGGTCCGACAGTCATTGGAATTCGATGCACTTCTGCCATCTAGTGGATAAAGTTAGACATTGAAGTTGCCATTTCTTTTCCTGCCGGAGACTCTTTGAAGTTGTTTGTAACAAAATGATCTCTTTGCAGGTGTCATGAAGAACATTGGGAATTGCAGAAGTCTCCCGACTGGAAAAGCCTCAAGACATTCACCAGAGGAAACATGGTGACTGAGCCCAGCAGAGAGCCCATCTGAGTAGCCAGCCCACACCAGACCAGGGCACTGTGGCTGTGGTCCCTGAGGATCACCCCCACCATCACTTTGACATAAGACAGAGTCCCAGTGAAGCACAGCCATGACAGCACCTGCCACACAGGTTAGAACATGAACTCAACACTCATATGAAACTGGATCATAGCAAAGTCTGCTAATACTTACTATGAGGACTTCTCCCAACATGGTGCCCTGAAACAGAGGGCATGGACTCATAGCAGCCATGACCATGTTGTAGCTCCCAAATCCAGTTCCCAGTAAAGTCAGCGCTCCAAGAAACATCGGAGATCTGAAAACACAACCGTTGACATGAATGTGAGCTCACTAAATCAGCCCTTGCCATAGGTAGCAGTGATTACCTGTTTTGGACAAACATAGCCACAGTGCAGGCCAGAGGATTAGCCACAGAGGAGAGTGCAGCGGACAGGTGGTAGGCCAGGTTACCATACGGCATACAGGAGTAGGTCTGTACTGAGGGCAGCACACCATTGGTGGCACCGTTCACCCAAACCACCATACAGTAAATAAACCAGAGCTGAGTCATGGACTTTTTAGGGTGGGCCTGAGAGAGACCCTCAGTCCCATCGCTATGACTACCTTCCCGTTGCATATCTTCCCCAGGGTTATCCAGACCTGAACAGACTGAGGACACTGAAGTTCCTGGCACCAGGTTTTCTGTAGACATCTCGAATGTCCGAGGGAGTTTATTGAGGGCAACAAATGCAGCCATGCTGATGCACATCATGAGAGCTAATAAAATGAAAAACACCTCCGTGGAGAAATGTGGGGGTAGATACTGTGTTTGAAAAAACCACATATCCTCAGTGTTCGAGTAGTTTCCTGTAGTTTGAGTGGAGTTTACACATTTGGCTATTCCCACACCTTGAGCCAGTGCAATTACACCAGGAATGAAACCACTGAGACCCTCCCCAATGAAGTATGTAGTGATGTATTTAGCTGGAAGCTGCATCATGAAAGGCAAAAAGGTGACTGAGGATGTGCAGTCCACTAGAGCCAAGAAGAAGGTGATGATAAAGAAGGCAGTGCTGCGAGGCGCCCCCCCAATGAGGCTGGTCCTGTCCCAAAAGAGTGCGAGCAACAGGCAGGAGACCACGCCCACACAGAGGATGGAGTAAATGACCACACGCTCCTTCTGCCGGCCAGGACACAGTTTGTACATGAGCGTAACCAGCATTGGGCCCAGATTTGCCAGCTGAATAATGACAGTGAGGTAAGAGGGTAGGTCCCAGCCCTCCGGCAGAGTGTTCACAATGAGCGGCAGCTCCACCCAAAGACCATTCACGGCCACCCACGAACCCAGGCCGAAGCCACAGGCCAGCAGGTGCACCAGGACAGACATGACCGAGTCTAGACGAGTGTGAGGGAAGAACAGCAATCAGATCTGCAGAGGAGAAATGTGTCAATCAAACTACTCAAAACATTATTATATTGCTTAAATAGTTCAAGTTACACTCAGTCAGGTTTGTGTATTCATTTGTATTAATTTGACAAACACTAGCTGTTCAGACACAGGTATTCTTCCTGGAGGAAAGATGTTATAACCGGACTCGTTTTACAATCTCCAAATGACTCAATTGAAACAATTTAATAAAGTAAATGGGTTCATTAGTGTGATTGCCACTGTTTGCTTTGTGAAAATGTCATGTATTAGTTGTTTACATGTCTTGCTTATCTCTTCCTGTAATTAAGTGTTTCCCAACACAGGCTTCATGGATCAAATTAATATAACTGGATAACAAAGCGTATAGCCACAATCTCGTGGTGGTGTAACTTTGTTATCACAAAGTTCAACTTGTTACAAATGACTGACCTACAAACAGGGACAGCTCAGATTATGTGTGCCAAAGGTCTAAACTAACCCTGACCCAAAGACGCGCATAAAGGAACATAAAACCTCAAAAATATTTTTTATTAATTGATTCAGACTGTCTAAACTATGTTGTAGATTGCTAAAAATAAAAACAGTATTCAGATTGAGTGTGTTACATATCCAATGAAAACAGGGTCACTGAGTTATATTTAGGACCTCTGGTGTAAATGATGCCATGTATAACAGCAGCGAGTCACATACCGTAGTGAAAACAGTTATTCCATTGCTCTAATATCGCTCCTATAGACTTGCCATGGACATGCACGAATACTTACAACTGTGTCTGTTCCCAGAAGGCTGAGGCTTGTCCCCTCACTCTCTCTCCAGATGGGTCTCTTATGGTCCTTAGGTGGTCCAGAGTCCACCGCAGTGGTTCTCCAGCTCCATTGGACAAGACTACATGGGAAAATCCACTCCTCTTCCTCCTCCTCCTCCATTCTGTTAATTAGGTCAGTGCTGAAACACTCCCAGGTGCTCTTGACATTTTGGCACACTCATGCATTTACTTCCACAGCAGAAAATAAAATGTGCCGTTTAATTGAGTTGGCAGCCCTCCCTCTACCGGCCGCAGGGTAATAGCACAGCGTGTGGCTCTATTAGTGAAGTAACCCGTGACTTTTACTCAGAGGTCACAAACAAGGACATAAACGTTGCAAAAGCACTCTCACTTCTTCATTTCGCAACAGTTATTTAAGCACTTTACGAAAGCCGTTTAACCACTATTAAATATATAAAATGTTGTAGGGTTCTGTTGACCCACATTTGGTAAAATCAGAACTTTTCACTGTATTTAATATAAACAGTTAAATGGGGAGAAGATATGGAGTGAGTTAGATCATAGTTTCAAAGAGGCAAGGTCTTTTCAGGTTTGTATCAGAGATACATATTGCAACATGGTTTTTGCTTACATAAGAATGTGTTGACTTTGCTACTAAAGAAGTAGGATTAACTATTGTTGATATTTCTCTGTACAGTAGCTATAGTTATAAGGTAAATGAAAGGGTTTTATCCAACTCAGACTAGTTTTTATTAAAGTTCACTATCATTTTCAAAGCCATAGCAATATTACTATTTGTAATTACTATTAAATGCACAATGTTAGGGATATTATCACGTGGAATAGTGCTGTGAAAGAGTATCAACATTTCTCTTGACTTTTCATATTTAATTTAGATTCTTCCCTGGGTCTGTAAGAAATTAGAAATGTTGGCCAACTATTATATTTCATAAACAACCTTCTGAGGACAATAGGGAAGTTGCACATAAAGGTGCACTTTATTTATCCCCTTTGGGCAATTCATCCACTACCGCAGGCGGCTGCTGAAACCATGTCAGTTGATTCTTCAATGTTAACTGGCATGTTGCAGAGGGACCGGTGGGTGCTATTTCATAGATAAATGTATGAAATCTTTTTTTCCAAAGTGGGGCCTGTCAGAAACTAATTGAAGCACTGCATTAACATGTTAAAGACAAAACAAATGCATTCGATTTCAAATTTTGCATTAGCCTAAAGCAAGTCACTCATTTGGGTTGTCAATTTCAATAGTGAAAGTTAAAAGCTGAAATGTCTCTCAGTTCCAGATTAGCCTATAAGAAACATTGTGTATTATTGTAATTGGAACACCTGCACTGATTCGTTCAACCATTGAGCATTCCTATTTTACGTAAAAGACCATTTCTTTTTCATCAAGCTTGGGGTACAACTTCACTGCAATTATACAAAAGACACAATCACACAGGGGAACACTCAATAAGATTATTTATGTTTTTGTACAATCAGACTTAACGAATAAAAAAAAAAAAAAAAAAAAAGTACAGTATCTGAATGGTCACATCTGATGGGGACAAAGGAAAGGCCATCGACAGACAAAGGGCATCGGCTGGAATGAACTCAGTAACTTCATGTGTGTATGAGAAACATGATGCTTAGATGGAGGAACAAACAGAATTAGGAACAAGGGTTATGGGTAAAGTACGGGCTTGTATGGGTGGGAGAGGGGTCAGTTGGAGTAGATCTGTCCCTCCGGAGGTTGGGGCAGCTTCATGTTCTCCTTACACGTCATATGTCGTCTGAGCTCCTGTAACACCATCCGAATACTGTTGGAGTTCTGCCACTTTGTCAAAGTTGAGACTGCTCGCAAGTCGACCTACAACAAGACAAACATGAATGAATGGATGGTCACATCAATATCTGCATAGACTTGGTACTTTGGGTTTACCAAAACAACCATTTTATAACAGTTCCCACTTATTCACACACACATAGTCAGTGCAAGTAATCTTCCTGCACCTCCAGTTTTACATTGATTTATTCTCATCACATGTGACATATACGTTTATTAGTTAAAGGTTATTGGGCACTAGTTAAAATAGAGGCTTATAATTTTTGGCACCTTGTTGTGACAGAGCACAAAACGGAAGCACAAATGAGTCAATTCATTTAAATACATTAGTTTTGTCAAGTCACTTTAGATTTGTAATGGGTATTTAAAACATTTTGAATACATAATAACAATCATAGATAAGGACTGTATAGCAGACATGTGACATTGGTAATTGTATAAAGTAAAATATGACTTTTCTTAACCAGTTCAGTTCTCAAAGTGCTTTACAATCTCCAAACAATACACATACATTTACAAGATGTACAAAAACCAGTTCATAAATGTTCTCCTAGAGTTAAAAGCCAGTGCAAAGTTCAAAACAAACCAGAGAGATAAGTTTGGGAGCAACCATAGAGGAGAGGCCTGTGGCCGAGGAGAGGTGCAGGTCAGCTGAACTCACAACTTTGCTGATTTTGCACAGTAAGCATTTCAGGCACATTGCCTTGTGGAAGTAACGATACAGCTTGAACTTCTGCACATTTTTTTCAGTTACACATTTTATTTTTGACAGATAAACAACCTGAAGTGAAAGCAAAATTAATATACATGATTTTGTTCATTTAAAAAGAAAAAAATAAGTGGGGTTTGGATAAGTAACATAGACTGTATATATATTAACGGACAGAGTCACGCCTATCTCCGCCGTTCTAACTAATGGGCCAAAAATAGTGCTCTACTGGAGCTATCCAAAATGGCCGCGAGTGGTCCCGCCCACAAGAAAATTGTGAAAAACCCATCTGCGCATGCGTCAGCCGGCGCAGCTCCATTCATTTGAACGAGAGACTTCAAAAATTCACAGTAAATAAACTAGAGTGGACCAAAAAAAATCCACCCCCCTCAGCATTGACACACATGTGGAACGGAGCTTTGGGCCAAGAGCCAACTTTTGGTCCATCCTGTAAAGACGTTTTCGAGAGGTCTGCCAATGCTATATGTTAGCATTGGCTAATTCTTCTTCTGGGTCCACCCATATCAGCCCGGGGTGGTATTGCAAGCATGTCAGCCAGGACCCGCCCCCACTGATAAGTAATCAATTATGCTGTGATTACGGTGTGGAATCTCCAGTGCCAGGAGATTTTTGTCCAATAATGACTCTTTCCTGTCCCTGCCGAAGAAAAGAAGCCCCACAGCATGATGCCTCCACCCCCAATTTTGACAATGGGAATGAGGATTATTCATTTAGGCCAAAAAAGTCTTATTTACGTCTCCTCTGACCAGAGCACCTTCATCCACATGTGCTGCACGCTTTGCTTCTTGCAGCTTTATTTCAACACTGGCTTTTCATTAACCACTCATAAAATCCATATTTGTGTAGTGTTGGACTGATAATTGCTCAAAGTACAGATTCCCCAGATAGTTTTTTTTCTCTTTGTCATTTTGCCGCAATCTCCAGAGGGTTTGTTTGTTAATAATTGAAAAATCATAAATAATGGAGGAAAAAAAAAAAAAAAGTACAGATTCCCCAGGTGATATGTGGGGGATCTGTAACCAGTGTCTGTTGTCATTAGGAGCGTAAAGGCAATTTAAATATTTAATGTTTCTATTTTTAAAAATAAAAATCATGCATCATTTTGCTTTCACTTCAGTCATCTTGTGTGTGAAAATGTATTAAAAATAAAAATTACAACATAAAATAAGCTCTTTATTGTTGTAAACATGACAAAATGTGCAAAGGTTCAAGATGTATTAGTACTTGAGAGGCACTGTACATGAAGAAACTTTAAAACGGTCGAGTCAGCATTTTTTAATCCGATAAATAATCTAGACCTTGACAGGAAGCATTTTAACTGGTCTGTCTTTGCAACCAGATTTACTGAAATACAAACTATATACAAACATAAGCCACTAATGGGAGTTTCCTTTTCATAATGTTGAAAGACTGCAGAGATACGTACCATGCCATTGGATTTGTTAACGCCATTCAAGTTTATCTGTGTGACAAATCTGACAAACGGAGGGGACTCTGGGTATCCGGGCCCACACTCCACCTTCAGATTGTACATCCGGTTTTCATAACTCGTCTGAAGACAAGAGCAGACACAAAGGCAAGTAAGACTTGAAAAAAACATGACTGGTTTAGGAGGAACAGGAGTGATGATGCTCGTTTGTTACACTATATCCACATGCAACGGATCCGTCATATCAGCAAAAGTATTTAGTCCAATCCAAGCGCTGTCCAGACTCTGAAACACAATTTTTAAGCTTGGTCCCAGATAAAAACATGTATACATTATTACACCTACTTTTTTATTGACATCGCTCCAATACATTACTGTTGCTCCGTTATCTATTGACCTGTATGAAGTTTAATTATCACCGCTTAGGGTTGCCCGGCATTGCAAAAATATCTCTCGTTATATTTTTCTTTTTGACTGACTAATTCTGACTTAAAGTAAATTTTCAAAGTAGTGTACAGACTGACATGTCAAATATAAACCATGTGCTTTTCCTGGAAACATCTCGTTTAAACTGCGTACAACAACTCTGACCTCCATTTTATGATTTTTTTCACTTTTGCCTTGCCTTATGAATAATAAATAGATCCACCGCAGATATGTTTGTGCATAACTTTTCATCAGATTGGAAAAAGACAATCCCCCTCCTCTCTTGACATGCCATGCACTTGCTTATTTGGAGAATAGGCCGACACGTTTGGGTTTCTATACATTTGAGGAAGGAGTAGTCACTGTGTAGACAGCCGTATACACTTAAGTTGTGTGTGTTCATGAGCTAATACCAATGTGCTGTAGCGCCTAACTGTGCCTGTGCTGTGAGAGTGTGCCATTGAGTGGAGAAAGGTTACCACCATGTTTGGCTGTGTAGTCATGTGCGGTAGAACGGAATGCAGCATTTCTGGAGGTTTGCATAGATGACGCTTCACAGGTGAAAGAGGGAGGTGACTGAAAACTGTAAGAGCAAGTTCATTCACCTCAAATTCAACACAATTTAATAATGCCACCATTGTTGGTAAACAATACTAATTATTTTTGTAAACCAACTTATTTTACGGAACTGTAAAATAAGTAAAAACATTTCATAGAAATCTGGTTATTATCTTGAGTCATCATGAACGGTGAAGGACTTACTAATGTAGATTTCCTTAAACATTAGTCTTAAAATCTAAGATGAGTCATAAGCAGTGTTACTTTTATCAAAAGGGTTAAGGTGGTTTGGGAATCTGGAAACATTGTCCTGACAAGAGAGATAGTCAGATTGATGATCAGACACTTTCTTTTTAAAATTTGAAACGTTTCAGAACACAGGCACACCACAAAATGTGGCAAACCAAAACATTTAATTTCACCATGTCCTAAATGTACACATTTTAGTGCTCAGGGAGGTTGTGTATTTTTTTGTGTTTGCATAATTTTCACTTTAAAACAAAAATTCATTTTATTTTGTGTGCGCGTGTAGCATAGCCTCACCCTGGGTGGGCCCAGAATCACTCCTCTCCATCGTGTTAAAGTCATGTCTTCATCATCCTCCAGACCCCAGCTCACTGTCCCGTCACCAACGCCCTTCTGGCCCTCCTCCAGCTCATCCAGGAGCCGGAAATTACGAGGAACTTGTACACCTGTAAAACAGACACAAACCACTTCCTTTTATAATTCAGCCTGTTGTATTAGTAGAACATCAGAGCTCCAGTCGGGCTGAAATAATCAAATATTAGGGCAGTCAGACGATTCAAAATTTTAATCAAGTTAATTACGGCTTAAATATTAATTAATTACATTTTGAACTATCGGCAAAATTATGCCATATTTTTCTGTAAATGGTTGTTTGAATGGAAAGATAAATGACTGACAACATAGTGTACATATGAGCTGTATTTGTTTAGTAGAACAACTATAAATCCACATAAAATGGCATTAACATTAACGTTCTGTCTTTTTGTAGTGACCAAAACTATTGTTTGTTACAGATAAGGGACATTTCAAAATAGTCTGAAATGCAGAATGTCATTAAATCTGTTTGATTTGCTCACAACAGACCTGAACTGGTAGTGCAAGGGAAATTAGGTACCCTAGCTTTAATTTAGCGAGTTTAGTTGCGCTCCGGGAGAAGACACGGAGGAGGTTACGCAAAGACACACACAACAAGCAGAGAATAGTTTTGTGGCGCATATGGTTTTGGATATGGTCACGTAACAGCGGCGCTGTTCGCCGTGTTGTGGTCAGAACGGCTCAGAGCTGCTGGAGGTGGGAACCGCTGTCCAGAGCGGCCGCAGCTGCCCCGGGTCAGAAAGCTGCGGCCAAGGAGGATGCAGACTCTTGTTCGAGTTCATACAGCAAAAAACAAGTGCTGCGAGGTCACGCGCATTATTCTTTTTTTACTTGAATTCCCAGAGGGCCTACCTGCTGTCGACATCATACACATGCATGTGTCCAGAGCATTCTGATAGTTATTATGGGATCCATGGGCGGGTCATTCGTCACATAAGTGTTAATTACAAAAAATGTAATTAACGTTTGTGGCGGCACGGTGGCTGAGTGGATAGCACTCTCGCCTCTCAACAAGAAGGTCCTGGGTTCGAATCCCGGTTGGACCAGGGCCTTTCTGAGTGGAGTTTGCATGTTCTCCCCGTGTCTGCGTAGGTTTCCTCCGGGTGCTCCGGTTTCCCCTACCACTAAAAATATGTACAATAGGTCTGGCATGTGCCTCCTGTACTGGCACGCCCACTCCCAAAAATAACAATTGTAAACCGCTTTGAGACTCCGATGTGCAGTGAAAAGGCGGTATATAAATAAAGATTACTTACTTACGTTAACGCCATGATTTTGACAGCCTAATTACTAATATAAATATATAAATAAACAAAAAGAAAAAACGTAAGTTGTTATGTTAGACATTGGTATCGTCCCTAAATTTCACAATCAGTGTATCCCTAACAGACTGCATCACTTGTTTAATGTGGCATCACATTGCACTGATCTGGATGGTTCTGGATTGTCAAGATTAGAGCCTCTAGCTCAGTGATGGGCAAACCCCGGCCCATGAGCCACATGTGACCCTCAGGTCCTTGAGCCCTAAGTTTATATAGATATAGTACGAGGGAGGGATAAAAATCCCTCTGAGGTGCGTGAGGCTCTGGCGTTGCAGTTGGTGGTCTTCAGTCCTGGTTTAACCCTTGTTTAGTCCTTGTTTAGCTCTTGGACGTTTGAGTGTCTTTGTCCTTGTGACCCCTTTGCATCTCTCTGATTGGTTACTGCATTTGCGTCCGGTGAAAAAGTTAAAAAACGATCATGTCCTGCGTTCGCCGCACGAGTAGTCGCTGTACCCAACCCCTCCTGCCGCACCTTAACGCTGCGTCTGCTGCGCAGGACAAACCTGCGTGCCGCAAAGCACATGCAAATATTCGCACGGACGTATGTCATCTTTGATTTGCATTGAAACTGGACAAAAAGGCATGTTGCGGTGTGAACGCCCTTCCGACTCTAGCTGAGGTAGCGGCTGTAACCTTGCCCATCTGGATCCAGCCAAAAATTTTATTATCATCTCACAAAACAATCCTTGTTAACAATCATGGGATTTAAATTGCTCATGTGAACAAGACGGAATCATTAAATTGAGGTCAGGATAAGTTTCCTCTCAGGTTCCACCTCTGCTTCCTGAGGCCTCTGGTTCAGCAGAGTTGTAAGTTTCAACAATAGGGTAGCTCACAAAGAGCAGCGAGTTTCCAGAAAATGCACAACTTGTCAGTGTACAGACAATACTTTTGGGATTGAAAACTCTAAAATATGTAGCTTTTTCCAATTTGTTAAAGGATAAATTTAATCAAGATTTACAATTAAAGAATATCCTTTTTTTGCCATAGGACCCAGCCTTAAAAGGTATGAGGATTTGAGTCATCAAGACTATTGATCCTCCCAATTGTCACTCATTCTGGTGATATGTGCTCGTCAAATAAGACCAGAGTTTTGTTCAAAAAGTGGAGAGGGTGGTTTTTTCCTATAATTTGGGAAAATCCTAAGCTTCAAGCTTTTCCCAAAACATATTTTAATTGTGCGATTAAGTATGTTTTAGAGTTAATAGATTCTTAAGTTGATTTAAAAACGGTAGAAAGATTAGGATAGGATAGATTACACGAATAATAACGAATTATCTCCGGCCCTAAGTCATAAGTTTGAATTGTGGATATTGAGGCATTTTGATTTAATGATTGATTGATCCACGTTGGTTCTCAATGGTAGTGTCTTGGTAGCCTTAAACAAATTACATATTCCTGAGCAAAACTACCTCGTCCTGTACAGAGTCAGAAGTGATGATGCCCAAGCTAATTAAGCTACGTCTGCAGCTCCCACACTCGGGAACACTCCAGATCTGTGGCCTTTTGGGAAACACTAGAAACAAGACTCCAGTTTTAATTCAAAATGCAAGAAAACCATGCATCTATCAAAAAAACTCTTTCTCCCCTTTACGTTCCATCATTATATTTAACAAACCTACATAGGGTCATGTTTTGATATGACTTTTTAAATAAGGTTAGGTCCAGAGCTCATTATGTTGTTGTGTTAGCATCTGGCTAAAGTAAAGCGTCAGGTGCAGATATATTTGGTCCATGATGTACAATATATCTGTTGTCTACTTTTCAAACAATCGAACGGGACGCGAAAGCCCCAATGAATCTTCGGAGGAAATTACATCACATTGGCTTTAATTTGCGGCTAGCGTTAGCTAAACGACTGAATTAGCGTCACCGCTGCTCATATGTAACGTTATACGCTGCGTAGGGACTTCCTTATAGGAAGAGGAGAGTTTGCCAGTTGATAAATAAGGCTCTGTTTTTACGCAACAGCTACACAGCGATAGTAATAGATGTTTGGAAAAAGCAATAAAATGACCGCTCATAATTTCTCAAACATTTACCTGATCCGGCGGAGACCGCCATCTTGTCGCGACACAAGGGAGCGCGCACGCACTGTCACGTCGCGTGTATGCGCATCACGCGTTATTATAGCAAGACAAGACTAAAATAGTTAAACAGAAACTTGTGAAGGAAAAAAAAAGTCAAACTTCATCAATAAGCGTTGGTATAGTAGTTTATTTATAAATATTTGTCATTATTTACAAATCTTCCAAATTGAAGACAAACTGAAAGGCATCAAGGCATTTTCTGATATCATCCACCCATAATATCCAAATGGAACTTGTCACTTTACTAGAACATTTTAAAATCTATGGATTGCTTTCTAAAATGCTGGCAAGTTACAGTAAAAGGGATAAGGCCATCCAAGAGAACAATTGTTTTTCTTTGACAACACAATCATTATTTCCACCTTTATCAAAGAATAAATCCTATGCAAAAGAACTGCTGTTTTATATTTTAACTTGACAGAAACTCATCTCAACAACCTCTATGTAAAAAAGAAGCTTTGACTGAGTCTATTGCTTAAGTGAACATCACAAGCTTTTGAATCCTCTTGAATTTAGAGAAGAACTGGGCGCTTCAAAATCAGCATTAGTTGTATTTTTAGCACTTGACACCAATGTTGATATAAAATAGATCAGCCTATTGTGGTCTGCAGATCCGCAAGTCACTGTATAAATGCAAATCTAAAACTACTTTATTTGGTCATTTGAAAACTATTATGTTCGCAAAATGGTTTTATGGCTTATTTCTACATGCACTTATTCAAGTTTAGTTTTTCTCTAATTGCTACTGACTGTCTACCATCAACTATGCTTGATCAGAATTTCAATGCTGAAGAAAATGCACAAAATATGTGTCCCTATATTAATGAAAAAAGGCTCCGAGCTGGAATTTAAACTTTAGATGCAGAAAGTCACACAAGCCCAAGCAAAAGTCGAACTACGAAGACCTGTTCTAATGGCATTCAACCAGCAATGTGCAATCTGCAGTATTCTGTGATCACTCACATACTATATATAAGCATCAAATATGAAGCATTTAAAACTGGAAGTCTTAGAAAATTAGATTTGTTGTTTCTTACAGTATATGTTTATCAGATCCTTGTATCTGTCTTTTCATATAGTTTTCATGTAGTTTTTCACATTTGAGGTATTTGTTTGGGCATCTTCAGGTCAGTACAGTATTTTCATTGGCGTGTTAGCAGGTTACTCCCACCAAACCAACATAGGCTGGTGACAGAGTGTATTGCTTCCACCAGCAACATGCTAAATGCATGCAACCCTATGTCCATTAATTACATCTAAAAGGATCTAAAGAAAGGCGGTCATGCAGTTGCTTGAGCTCCATTTCTCCCCATGTTACACTGTGTGAAGTACAAAATAAAGGCATTTGAATCGAATTGTAACATTAAGACATAAAGGTAAGGGCATCCTACTTTGCTGCATAGTTTGCTGCTGTACACTGCATTTACAAATAGAAAAAGATGGTTTTGAAACATTGTCTACTGTACAACATGGATAAATTCTTGGATCTTCAAACTTCAATGAAGCCCAGACCAATATGGCAATGCCAAGGCAATACTCAGTAGACATTACTTGTGCATGTTTAGCCCTGTAACTGAAGCTTCTCAGTTTACATTACACGTTTGAAGAGTGGAGTCATGTGGTTGTTGTTGTTGGCACAATTGAATATTGTTCAATCCGAGTCTTTGTTCTCAGAATGATGCAACTGCTACTTATTTCGACTGAAAACACCTTTACTGCATCAGAAGTACATAAGGCAGATTGAAGGAAACACGTTCCTCTTATGAAAAAAACATAAATGGACACGAGATCCTAAATTAAATCTAAAAAACTGAGATGTGTTAGTTGTGTGTGATATTGATCTACAGAAGTTAAATATTATGTACTGTAGTATTAGCCCTCCAACAATTACAAACGGTAATGTAGTCATATCTCCATTAGATCTCTGGCTGAGTTTAACATAAATATATATTTGTTAAAGTTTACTCAAGAATTAAACGTATCAGTGATATATTTGCTCATTAGCTATCCACATTGGCTCCTACAATTTTTAGAATTATATCGTTTTTGTCATTTTCTTCATATATTGTCACGGATACAGGTCATGTATTTATAATTATCTTGAACTTGAAGGAGAAAACCAAAATAAATAGTAAATTAAAGTATATTAATAGAATCTTAATGAGTCATATGAGGTTTAACTTTTTTGAGCAAACTCCTGAAATCCGGACAAATTGATGTGTTATGCGAGACGTTAAGAAAACAATAGGTTCTGGAAGAGAGAAGGTCTGCAGTGGGACATACCCCATCAATAAAGCCCTCCTTTTCAAGATTAGATCACATGTGCAAGATTTAAAGCTATGGCATCAACATTGTTAGATTTCCTTTTCCAATAAGTAGGAGAAAAGGGGGCAAGGGGCTGGTCGAGAGCCGCCTTCTTGAGGTAGGGGCAGTTTACTTGACTTTGTGAGCCCACTTGAGGTCATCTGCTCTGGGCTTCTCTCCCGTCACTCCCTGAATTAGATCTTCCAGGTTTCTCCAGAATCCCAGTTTCTCCAAAGGGTAGTTCAGCCAACCTGGAAACACACATGACAGTCTAGTCTGCTGTAGCCTTGTACTCTCGGACACATACTTCTCTCTGTTTGTCTCTCTGTTCACTTTCCACCAAGTGAAATAATCCCAGCTGATGCACCAGGTTAAGATGTGGGTGAGTTACTTTTAAATTCACATTATATAATTTGGAATAAATTATATAAATCTGCCCAAATGTATGCCAAAAAATGTTGCAACCAACAAACAAATGTACAAATATACAAACTATATACTATAGAAATAGTTTAAAACATTCTGCATCATAATATTTTAGATTATTTTTTAATATTCATATTTTGTGAATATTTGTTAATCAATTTTGAAAATAAATTTGATAAACAAATAGAGGTGTTTGCATAACACCCTGGCAGAGCTAATTATTACCAAATTGTAATTCAACAGAATCGTTTCACATAGAGGTAAAAGGAAAAAAAAAACAACAGGGCACACAAAGTAAAACCCTCAGAACTGCGGTTCCCTTGATCATCAAGTACATTTTTTATGAAGAAGACCCTGGAATACCCGGGTCCAAAGCCCTGAGCCCCTCCCTCACCTGTTGTGATGCAGAAGTAGGTCTCGTGCGGAGTGACGTGGTGGATGCGGTGGTGTTTTCGTGGGAGGATGATATGACAGTCCTGCAGAAACACGACCCAGCTGGGCAGCCCAAAGTACGTGTGTGACCACTTGTGGATCTGGTTCGTCAACGTCACAAATATGCCCAAAGCAAACAGGTAGCAGTAGAACGGGTAGATATGGTAGATCTCCGCTGAGGAACACAGAAAGAGCGTGTGAACAAATGTGACTTTGAGGCTCGTACATCGTCCCATTGAAAATACATCATTGGATTTAAATCATTAATCGCTATTGCTCCACTTGTCATAATTCTGAAATCCATGGATCGGTTTTATACAGATGACTGATTTTTATGACATTTCAAAAATAACTAACCTTAAAATAAAGCTAAAAGTGAGTCAGAATTATTCTAGTGAAGAATATAGATTGCTGCATGTGATAAAATTATTTGTCCTCTTCTAATTTGTAATTGTTGGTTGTTACTATTTCAACAACTTCCTAACAGTGACAGAAGAGTTAATTGCTTCAGCCGCTGAAGTGGGTTCAGGGGCATCAGAGCTCTCTAAGGTCAAGCTGCAGCCAACGACGATGTTAGTAATATAGAACTCTATCAATGACTATTGATTTATGCTTCAGTAGTGTGACTCTTTTCACATTCAAGTCTATTTGGTTTTGGTGGGTTTTCTCACTTTAGATGAGTGTTGCCAAAGATACATTTTTGGTGTAGTTCTTGGTTTGTGAACTCACCAGGAGAGAGCCAGAGGAAGTTAAAGGCCATGTTCGCTAAAGGGATGATCGTGAGCATACAGTTGTCTCCATTGGTCTCGATGAAGTCGTGTCGCGTGATGGCTGTGGGGTCGATGTGATGCTCTCTGAACGGTCGTATAAACGCCTGTGGAAAACAACAACAACATGAACAAACAGAAAAGCAGAAGATGTAGGAGAACATACAAACACACCCTCAACTATTTTGCCATTGAGAAGTTTTGAAACAAACACTTGTGGTCATTCCTTCTAGCAGCTCTAATACTAACAACAATGTTAGCTGCCAAAAGACATTCACTCTGGTTTCAGGCAGTATTTCTTTAAACGTTGATATGACAAGACATTCAGCTGTAAATCATCCAACTATTCCCCCCCAAATTGAGTAGATCTGAATAAATCTATTCATAGTTTGACAAAAAGCTTGGTAACATACTATGTGTGTGATTCACAGGATCACCCCATAGATCCCCTTGATACAGGAACTGAATAATATGTGTATGTATCCCAGATTAATCAAAAGTTAAGTAACAAGTGTAGATGTCGGTGGTAATTGGAAACAGGAATCATGGGAACAATAGTTTGAGTAATAAAGTAAATAATCTTTATGTATGTAGCATTTTACAGGACGGGGTCACACAAAGGGCTTAACAGTTTGATGAAAATATGAATAAAAAATTACTCAAGCCAATAAATAAATCTTTGAGTGTGTAAAACTATTACATCTAAATCTAATCAGATAGGGGTCTTAAACTGAGATCATCATTAATACTACTACTATCGGTATAATGCACTATAAAGCAATAGAAACAAGTACACTCTGCCCTGGTGAACGTCTAGGTGGATTTTAGATTGTCGTGTGTTGTATCATTGTATTGCCCAAGTTGTATTAGCAGTGCAGTATTTGAGTTAGTCTCTCCATGTTTACATTATGCAGAGTTTAACTGGCCTCTACTGGTAGTTCAACTTACTTTTCCAAAAACAGGCAGATCCACAGACCCCCATGTATCTGCTCCCCAGTGAACCAGCCCTGAGGCAAAGTCCGCAGTCAGGATTCCTGCAACTAAGGGTAAAAAAAAATACAATAATCTTAGCCATAACAAAATCAATTTGAAAAAAAAAAACAAACAAACAAAACAACTATTTTTTTAAAGACTGTTCTTACTTATGCCCAACACAATGTACCAGACATGGCTCAGGTGGAAATTAGCAAGGAGGTGAACGAAATTGAAGGCCATTAGAGAAAAGCACAGGATGACACTGATCCACTCCTGACATCTTTTGCCTAAAAAAAACCAAAAAAACAGAATACATAAGTGTCAAGTCAGTTTTTTTCAGATCAGAAGGATTCCACTCTAGTTTTCTTCCTTATTTTGTAAAGTTCTGGTTGAGAGGTAGATGAAAACACAATGAATATGTTAGTTATATAGTTGCTAGACCAGAATTGCCTGTATTGTGTCTATACAAGAGGAGCTGGACATTATATAGATAGAATACAGTTTTGTTTTGATGTTTTCGTCTTCGATTTTTCCCGTTGTTACCTTGTGTGCGTGTGCGTGTGCGTGTGTGTGTGTGTGTATGTGTGTGCAAACGTGTGACTCGGTGATTCTTTTGGCCAATTTAACAGACGTATGCAGCTTTGAGGATTGTTCCGTGTGTAGCTCTACGATTGGTAAAAGACTAAATCTGACAAATCAAAATAACATAAATTTAGAACGAGAGAAAAAAAAATTGTTGCAACCATGTAATACTTCTGAATTACACAACGCAGCACAAATGTATAACACAAACAAAGCTCAACAATGCAAACTTCTTCCCTGTGAGCAAAGCAGAGCTAACATAATAGCTTAACTATTAGCTCCTTCATTCAAGATCATAAATAAAATGACAAGTGCTTGTTAAGTTGCTGGTGATATTATAATTCCTAACATTTCAGTCCAGTTATGTCACTAGCTCGAATCAGTGGACACATCCTGATAGCCCGTCCGGGGATACCAGGGGCTACCAGGGGAAAGCTCGTCTCACCTGGGGAGTATAAATTGGCCAGTTCTCGGGCCCCTGCGTGTTGTGGTCCAAATCTAGCAGCTGATCGGGCCGTGGTGGCGTGCCCTGGGCTCGGTGTGTCCCCTCCACGCCCGTGCTGCCGCTCCTCCACACTCGCCATTTCTGCTCTGAGTGCGGCGCCAGCCCAGCCTCTACAGGCGCTTCAGCTCAGGACCAGCGGGCGCTAGAGGGAGCACAAGGCTGTAAGGTTACACTGTGGGACGTATGGAGCGGCGGCCATCTTGTGACTGTGAGCTGGAGTTAGTCACGTGCTCTTTCTGAAAGGCAAGTCTTCCAAAGTCTGGGCCTGGACCTCCAACAATCACATGTGTCCTCTCTGACAAACACACAGCTACAGGACAAAACAAGCTGTGGATTGGACAATCACACTGGCATTTTTAGGAATTTAAGTATTTAACTAAATAAGTAGGTAAGTATTATTTAGACCCAGGTATCACAAAGAGCTTTACAAGTTAGTTGCACTGGTCATTTCCACTCACTCTACACACAGTGATGACAGAAGCCAGAGCAATTACTAATAACACCATATGTGGTACACAATCCCATGGGGGGATATGGGGAGTACCCAAAGGGTTGTTTTTGTTCTGAGGAGGCGGCTAATGTATAGTGACCATTATTTTCTGATTAGCCAATTGATGGGGTTTAAGTACACATAACCGGATTGTTTTAGCTGATCTAAATACACACTTATGTCATATGTCGTCCTTAGATTGAGCTAAACCAATGTCATAAGAAACAAGTTGCTTTGCTCCTCCTTCTTGTGCCCCTTAGCCAGGTCCCTTTGACAGAGCAAAGCAGTCAAAGTTGTTACTACTTGAATTTTTTTCCTTCAAACCAAATAAGGCATTTAGAAAAGAAAATTGGCCTTGTGTGTAGATAAGTATATGGAGAACACCAACATGCAGCTTTGAGATATAACTGGAAATAACATGGTCAAAAGCTCAGATTATTTTTATTCATTGAGTTGGGCCTCATACAATATATTGCAATCATGATTTGTCTAAACTTAAGTTGATTACAAAGCCCTCTGACCACTTTTGGGGTATTTTGTATTCACTGTGGCGGGTCAGGAGAAAAATGAGAGCTAAAAACCAAAGTGATGTGTTTATACTTTGGTTCAGTGCAGTTCATGTTTAACCCCAAAATTAACTGAACAGAGAATGTGTTGTATTTACTGAACAATTAGATTGTTGCTATTGAGACATTGGGAATAAGATAAGTATTAGTTCAAGCCTTATTATCCCTGGAGCTAAGGTGGACATGGTTGGGGCTGCTTTGTGGTAAAAAGAATGTTCGAGGGTAACTGATGAAATATAAATACCAACTTTACTCTTTCAATTAAGAATTTAGATATTAAAACCTAAATTTTGCATTTACTATTATTGTTATTTACGTTTCCATTATTGTTATTTGATAATAACTATAATTGTCCTAATAATAGTCACTATAAAGAAGGAGCGCTACCTCTGTCAAACTGTACAATAAGTCAATTGCATTAGGACTGAAAAACCTGCACTACAAATTGACAGTTTCTTGAATTGCCACTTTTTATTGTACATGATACATCCTGCATTTAACATGTTTGCACATGTCTTTCTTTTGCACAATCTTGAGCGTTTCTATCCATGCCAGATGTGACATGTACAATTCTCCTGTGTGAGATCAATAAAGTCTATCTTATCTTATCTTATCTTATCTTAATAGCAATACTAAATATAGATAAGATATGTGAATAAATCAATAATGGTGATAATGGTGATTCATCCAATAAGAGGTACTCTAGAGTTTTTTGCACAGCTTGAGAGGATCCAATCAAATCATCCATTTCTCAGCCCATAGTCAAGTTGTCATGTTTTGACCAATTATATGCCAGTTTTTGCACCAAGTAGCCAATAGGCATTTAGGAGGGATGGGCCCTGAAACTGAACACCCAATCCTGTTGTTAGGACTCAAACCTCACTTTGGAGTGTGCGGTTACATATCAGGTTTGCACAAGTTTAATACTTTTAACATTTATGCACTTTTTTATTGCCCCACACTCAAGCCCTAGCTCTAACAGTTTGTTGTTGTTGTATTAATGTGTTTTTTATGACAATAATGATTATGGTCGCCTAGTATTAATTTTTATAATAATTATAATAATAATGATAATGATAATGATAATAATAATAATAATAATTATTATTATTATTATTATAATAAAAACAACATTTAATAATAAAAAATAGTGATAATAATAATAATGATTATGGTCGGCTAGTATTAATGTTTATAATAACAATAATAATAATAATAATAATAATAATTATTATTATATTATTAAATTATTATTATTATAAAAACAACATTAATAATACAAATAGTAATAATAATAATAATATAAAACCCATAGCAAATGCTCACTTTTTCTAGGCTATAAGTGACGTTACCACTGGGCCACTGGTCCCATTTGATGAACCTAAATAAAAATAAAGACACAGAATGTTTACAGTGTGAGGTGTTTTCATCATGGATATTTACTGGTGTGGTTTTCATCAACACATGTGTGTACCTCTGATATTTCAGTTCCTTGTTGTGTGTGCAGATAACCACCGTGAGGCAGTAATGCACCACTGTTGGCTCTGGAAGCCTGCTCCAGGACCAGAGCCAAAAGGTCTCATGTGTTTAGTCTTCACACAACAGACACTCATTGAATGGGCTTTGATTAAGGTGGATTGGTTTTGAGAAAAATATTTAGTTAATTTACTTGATATTACTTCAATTGAGATATTATTCACTCATTCCGTTGACATTTGAAATGAATCTCATGACGTGCATGTTTAGGTTGTTACGCATGGAGGAGATACACATCAGTTAAACTGTCACGTGTGAGTGCGTTTCTATATGACTTTGAGTCTGTTTCAAAACAAATAAAAACAGACGTAACCATGTTGTCATGATCATGGGCACAGACAGTGACATCTTAACTTCAATTACGCTTGACCTAGTTTTTCTTGCGTAGGCTACGACTCCGTGGCCTGTTGCATGTTCTGCTCGTCTACAGACCCATTGACTCGTGCACCAGTGCTGATAAGACTTAAGCCACAATGGTCACCATCAGTCGTCACACCTGCATGCCGCTGGAGCCCGAATGAGTTTAATGAAAAGTCCCGGGTAGCTCGGGGTGGCTGCTGCGTGCTGTGCGTCACACCTGCCCTGCTAAGCCCCGCCCCATAGTTGTTATAACCCCGTGAGACAGGAAAGAGCTGTCAAACCTTTCACGAACTCTGAATTCACAACGTGTCTGCTGTCCACAGTCACAGCAGTGACACAGAGAAGGAGTTTCATATTTATCTTTTCAGTTTACTGTGGGCTGTGTCCAGCCTTATGCTGTTATCCAGCGGGTGTTAAGATCCATGGAAGTGGCGGGTTATTACGACGAGGGCAGCTTTGCTTTCCACGGTCGAGACAGCATAATCACCCCCGTGAGCGCGCACTGGAGACTGGGCGACTCCATGACGGAGCTGGGTCTGGAGGAGCGTGAGAGAGCAGACTTCAGTGTGTACCTGGACTCAGGGCTGCACTGTCCGCAGCTGGCCACGCAAGCGCAATCTCAAGGGGACCTCTTCACGGACTTTTTGGCGGAGAATAAAATCAAAAGAGCGGGTGCTTTGCAAAACTATAAGAACTACGCGCTCCTGGAAGCGAGTCATTGCGACAGTTTGAGGGACCCCAGGGAGCCGTACGCACAGTACGCAGACCTGCGTGAGCCCCGTGAGGACAGAGCCGCAGACAGAGACGAAAGTGAAGACAGGAAGATGGAGAACGGCTCGTCCTTTGACATGAGGTCCTACCTGCACTACTCAACTCCCAGCGGCAGCATGGGAAACATCTCCACCGCTTCCTCCAGCTGCTCCAGTCCGCCCGGAACCCCCGCGCCCTCGTCGAAGGGCAGGTCACCATCCCATGGGGCTGGGAAGATGTCCAACGGCAAGTCCAAGAAGCGCCTGGACAAGGACAGCGACGAGTACAGGATGAGGCGTGAGAGGAACAACTTGGCTGTGAGGAAAAGCAGGGATAAAGCCAAAATGCGTAACTTGGAGACGCAACATAAAGTGCTGGAACTGGCTGCGGAGAATGACCGTTTACAGAAGCGTGTGGAGCAGCTGTCCCGGGAGTTGGCCACGCTCAGAAACTTATTATCTGCTACGGGACAGTGTTAGGTACCAGCACATGCTCTAATGGACTCACTCAAGAGACTTAAATTATTGTCCAACGAGCAAAATGCGAGCGGTACGTGCAGAGTTTACATGGACACTTTGAATGAGACATAGGCCTAACAAGTGGGTGCATGGATTATTGCACAATAGCTCATGTCTCTCCCATGTCACCCGCTTCTTCAGTCTCCAGTGTGTGATTTTGTGTACATGCAGTATTCGTGCGCAGGTTTTTCATGCGAGTGTGCATTTCTACGTTTTCTGGTGAATGTGGAGCAGTGGTTGTCATTGCAGGAGAGTTGTGCTGCAGTGAAATGATGCAACTCTTTGTAATAGTATTGCCAATGAATGAAATACGTCTAATTATTTAAAACTGAGAGGCAACATGCTTTAATTGTACTTGATATTTTATTGAATTAAACAGATTTCTACTTTGTTTAAACAATTTTCTGGTTCTTTATTCATTTTTTGGTGTTTTTAAGACTGATTTGGCAAACGGGGTGTTACACCCTCTTTACACATTCATGCTCTGAATACATAGCTTTTGGCTTCGACTTCATCTTCTTTTCTTACATTCACATCATAAACACTGTCCAGATGTTTAAGCATTTCTCACTAAAATATGTTTTTTTCTTGTTGCACTCCTTGTTACTTCCTCATGTTAATAGTGGGTTACAGTTTCTGTTTCCCAATTCCCTAAGACACCAATAAGTGTTTCATCATGGCTATGCAAATCTAATATCAAACCTCCTTTTAGAGAAAAAGCGTTGGAAAACATACACTCGCGTTGTTACTAATGAACAATGATGTTACAATAGGCCTTAAACCACTTAACCTTATGGCTGCCCAGTGTCTGGATAAACCACAACCAAAGAGGAACATGTGTTATTCATTCAAACTGAATGTGAAATTAGGAACTAGTTAGGAGATATAACTTGATTCTCTTTAATACGTCTGTGTCAATGATTTAACATAATATAGGCTATGTTTGATGATGTAATCTTGAATTGGAGTCATTTAAGTCCTGGCTTCTGTCCTTTTTTGCTGTGTAAGTATTGGCCTCATGCATGTAGTCAGTCACACAGTGCAGCTTTATCTTTAGCACACAACTCGGTCAATAGTCTGCGGAGTCCACTGGCCTCATGAGAGGTTCAAGGCTATGTGGAAATTAATCAGCAACTAACCTCCTCCCAGAGCCTCAGGTCACTGGCTGCAGCTCACAACGCTGTAAAACAGTGATCACACCATAAGACATGAACTCATTGAAGACATGTAGGGAAATGTATGACATTGTTGCAGACCACAACAAAGTCATGCAATGCTGTTTAGACTAGTTTCACATTTATTTTTGAGTGATCAAAAACTCTTGATCACTTTGGCTCTCTGTCCAAAGTGTCCAATGGTGACTCCTAGGGCTCTAAGTATGCCAAATATATAGAATGACCATGCATGTTGTGGTCTATTTTGTTCTCAACATTTTACAGAAGATTAGTGTTTTTTTTTACTGCTGTGGACTCGAGGAAAAATATTAAGCCATATGAATTTGACTGTGACTGACAACGAATCCTGTTATTTCAAACATTTTACTACAGGCCTATTAGCCTACACATGTTATTTAATGTTATTACTCATTATAAGTGTATTTTTTAAATCTACACCTAAATTTGCCTGTCCGTGACATCTTACTCTCATCAGATTTTATTGCCAAAATTATTATTCTAATAATTTAGGTCTATTCCTTTACTCTCAGATTGCACTTACTGTAGTCATTTTTTATTGATTATGATATGATGCCAAATACCTGTATATCGATTATTATATTGATGGCTTTTTTGACAAGATTGTCCCGCTAAGATTTAGAACCACTTTTTCACACAGTTGTTGCTACTGGAAGTTAGCTATGACACGTTTCAGGACACAGCAAAGTTTTGTGTAGGGTCCATAATGACACTAAACTATTTCACTTCCTTAACATTTGTATCACATAACTAGCCTCGTATCTAAATGATTGATTTGAACATTCATTTGTTTCTTCCTAATATCTGAGGCAAGAAACAAATTATTTGGACTTTTGTTTCATTCCTTTTTTGGCAGGTTTGATTGGTGATTGGATCAGCTCCATTCAGTACAGTTGTTGCGTGTCCTTTGGCAAGACACTTTACCCAGTTGTCAGTTGATAGAAATATATATAAATATGTAATTTGTGAAATAAGAGCGTGGTATCGCTTATTCCAACCACAATAAGAGAAGTGTGAACTCTGTGGGAGCTGTGCTGGAGAGAAGGATGAGGGCTCTAATGCAGGGCATCCTGGGTAACTCCAGACAACCTCTGACACTATGGCCGCTCTATAGCAACAGGCTCCTATCACTGCGCTGCCAAACGGAACGTTTGAAGAGATCCTTTGTTCCTTCGGCTGTCAGACTGTACAACAAACCTGGATGAGTGTTCTGCTGCTGGACACTTGAATTTCTCATACGGGGGATCAATAAAGTATCCATCTATCTATCTATTTTGGAAATGGTAGAGCAGTAAGGCATGATCAATTGTGTCAAATGTTGCACTAAGATCCAGCTATATTAAAGTGCAGACAGAAGGTCATTTGCAGCAGTTTCAGAGCCCTAAGCAGCAATTCTTGCTCTCTTCATGTCTCTTCATGTTCAATCAGAGATGACACCTGACTGTGAGAGTCACATGAAGACCTGTGAGTGAGTCTCACCCTGATTAGTTGTATTAATTCCACATCATCTGTTTTTAATTATTCATTTTAAGAATATCGTGACTGTATTTAGCATGTTGTGTGACTAACATGCAAAACCTATTTACATATTAGCAAATTAGCTCTGAAATAGACTGACGTGAAAAGGCCACACTTTAACCTGAAACAGTCCTGTTCCTGTTATATACAACATAATTCACTGTTTCATTGATCCTCCATAATAATAATGTACATTCTGAAAAGTAGTAATGCATAGTTTTCGCATGAAGGACCTCAGTCGTCTTTGCAGGCACCATCAAAATCTTGAACCAAGTCTAAACCAGGACTTGGTTCAACATCTTGAACCAAGAAAAAACACACCTTAACTTACTGGGCAACAGGGCTCAACTAGGATTGAAATGGACTGTAGACCAGACCAAGGACCCAGTTATAAAACAAGACAATAATCTCAACACCAGGACAAGCCAGAGCCACTGAAACATTCATATTTATTGAAATGGGACTTTGTTGAAAAATAACCTCAAAGATGAGCAATCCCTGCATGTGTACGAGGACTGCAGATTGAGAAGCCCTTCAGCTGTAAACAAACGTGCGGTGGTGTTTTGAACACGGTGGTTATTTCAACACATTTCTGATGAAGTGCTCTTCTGCAATATCCTCTCCTCCCAATGACACAGAGCTCCACCCAAGGCTCTGCTCTTGCTGCTGCCAGACAATGGTTTAAGACAATAACACTACATAATCCTCAATAATGTCATCAGAGCAAATGCCTTTCAATACAATAGACAATGGAAAGACTGTGTTTGTATTTGGCAGAAGAGGGGTTTTTACACCTGTACTGTCTATGGCCTCCTTACAATCATATGGCGCTATCTGCGTTCTTCTGAGATATTAGGTTTAGGTAGATATTTGTCACATGGGAAGGAAGGACATCTGAACAAGACTAAAAGAAAAATCCATATTTCCTTTAGTAAGTACGTTTTTTAAGTAAGTTTTGTAAGTTGTAAGTCTCACTCCACACAGATGGGAGTGAGATCGCCAGTACTGCTTTGTGGGAGGAAAGCAGTCATTTGCAGATATAATCTTCTATTTCTTCTCTAACACTCACAGAATTGTAAGGTTCTATCTGGAAAAAGTGTCGTTAAATTAATAGTAACACTTGGACGAAATAGAATTTGTGAAATATAAAAAATATGACATGTACATTATTTGACCTATGTTAGTGTTAACACAAAAAATGATTTGTCTTTGATTATAATGTTTTTATGACATTCATACTGTACCAAGAAAGCTTCACTAAAATAGAGATGCGGTCTGATAATATACTTTTCATAAATTATACATGTTTTTTTTCCCAATATGAGGCTTGTAGTCTATACTTTAACCACCTCTGGCTTTTTTGTGGCTACACCAGGGGTCTCCAACCTGTAGCTCGGGAGGTAATAATTAATATTTCAGATTGTATCATTCAATATTGTGAATGCACTTACTTTTTGTGCACTAGTAACAAATATGCAATGATAAATAATGACTGCACCCAAAATCAGGCTTGCTCACACCAATATATCACCAAATTTTTCCCAGGGCCGCTCCAAGGAGTAGCTCTCTGCCTTTATTGTCGCAGGAATGTAGCTCTCTCTCTGTGGAAAAAGGTTGGAGACACCTGAGCTACAGTGTTGATCCATGGGTTTCACAATGATGAGACATAGGACTGTTGAAAGAAGATAAAAAACAAATATATATGGAGACATTCATGTTTAAACTATCGAGAATTTCTGTTTCTTTGTGTAAAGTATTTTCTGGTTTTGACGGTTTTAGAAGCCAATGTGCTGTGGTTAAGTAGTGCTTCAAGCTCTGTATAATTTTCTCCCAAATTTCCAGTGAAAATCACACATTGAAAGATATTTTGTGCTAGTTCCTCTAGTAAGGATTTGTGATAAATGCAAGACTTTTCTTAGGAAAAAATGGGGGAAAAGTCCTCAAACTTGAATAGAAAGACCCCTGGCTGCAAGAAGTGTTTAAAAATGCTGAGGTTGTGGGAATGTGTAACTCTATAACGTCATGCCTTTTGGAGATCTTTCATCGTTCTTTTGCTTCATCATTCACAATGTGCCTGACTTTCAAACTGTTCAAACGCTGTCCTTGTCCAGGCATTTTCACATGTATTGTATTTTTGACCTGTATTACAAATTTACATCAGACAGAAGAGTGAAAAAGAGAGCACCACCCTCACTCTGATGTGGTCACAGATTTGTTCTTTTACAAGACTCTTTCTGTTGGTATTTTCTA